CATTCTGATTTTCAGGAGCTGTCCTTCTCCTGGTCAGGAGCTGATCACAAAGGTAAAATTCCCTTTTGCTGTTCCAGCCATGTCAGAACTCCAGAGCCCCATTGTCTCAGGGACACAGAGCTTTGCTGCCTGTCCTGATTGCTCTTTCACGAGTTTGGGGAATTCTTTTGCAGGATGAGAAGGATTTACTATGGGATCTGCTGTGGGATCTGCTGTGGGATCTGCTGTGGGATCTGCTGTTTGATCTGCTGTGGGATCTGCTGTGGGATCTGCTGTGGGATCTGCTGTTTGATCTGCTGTGGGATCTGCTGTGGGATCTCTGCCAGGGCAAAGAGGCTGCACCAGGAAAATGAGCACTAGGCTGAGACCCTTCTGAGGGCCTTGGCATTGAGCAGCAGGATTGACAAATCTTCACGAGGTTCCCCACACCCACAGATGTGTCACACTCACAACTGATGTGTCACACACTACAGATGTGTCACCACCTCCACCACGAGTGGAGAGAGGACAAGAGTGCTTTTCAAACTCCCTTCTCTGAGCCTGTGCAGGACTCCTGGTCCCAGTGATGCCCTGCCACAGTCAGGTGTCACCAGGTGATACCTGGGGGGGCTCTGGGGGTGCAGGGGCTGCACAAAGCTCGTTGCAGCAGAAGGAAGCACACTGTCTCTGTGGAAGCGAGGATTTAACACCCCATGAAGACACAGAGGACAGCTGTGATCAGTCCAGAGCCTGCCCTGCTGTCCTGTGCAAGCTCTGGCAGCTCCCCGTGCCCTCCACACACTCCCTGGTGACAGCACAGAGCAAATCGAGTCCTGCAGCAATCCCAGTTCCCCCCTTCCCCCCACAAAGGGATTTCATCAGAAGCATTTAGCTGTGGGATTTGGGATTTGGGACATCCATGGTGTGGGGGCCCCTCCAGCTGGAGCCCCTGTCCACAGGGTCCAGAAATGTCCCTGCCATGGCAGGGGGTGCAACAAGAGCAGCTTTAGGTCCCTCCCAGCCCAAACCATCCCATGATTTCTGGTGCTCCTGTGCCCCCCTGCACCTTTGCTGTCTCCCCTCACACCCTTCAGTGGAAGGAAAAGGGGAAAGGCTGCAGCGTTCTCCTGTCTTGTGTCTGTGCAGCACCTGGCACTGGGGCTGGCTGTGCTTCCAGGACCCACAGAAACAGCAGCAATTACCAGAATTTCTCTGTCACCCACGCTGGCCCCCAGGGCACAGGTCACTCTTACAGGTCTAAGGCATTGGCAAAACCAGAACGTTTTGTTTCCCTTCATTCCAAGTTCATTCGTTATTCCAGTTGCTGCTGCCATTGTACAACCCTAGCTGCTCCCAGTGCCAGGCACTTCAGTCGAGATTTATTAGGAAAACACACAGCAACTCTAATTCTTATCAGGGATATTGTTATTGCAGCTACAGCTGTGAGGAAAATTAGGCAACGTGCACAGCCCAGCGCTCATCTCCTACAGAACTGTCAGCTCAGGGCTTCCAACCCCAGCCCACAGAGCCCTGAGGGAAAGGCTGCTCTGTGGAATACAAATCATAACAGAAAAGAGATGCCGAAAGGGCTCAAGCTTTGAATGCAGAGCAGTGCCTTTGGGGTTGTAAAAAAAAATAAAATTAAAAGCAAATAATAAAAATGCCCCTCAAGCTGACACTAATGAGTTCCCGACTTGCCCACTGCTCTTTTTAGGGGCTGGTGTGGGAGAAGTTAAACTTTTCCATCCCCCAGCATTCAAGGAATTCACATTCAATCTGTCTATGTAAACAGGGAACGTGGCATTGTTTAACTGAGGGCTGAACTCATCAGCATGCCATGAGAAATGGAATTGGTGTCTTTTCCACTGCCCCACGTCTCAGACAGAGCTCCAGACATCTGTGCCTCTGCTCCTCACTTCAGCAGCTCAGTAATTAGCCAGATAAGTTAGATCAGCAGCAGCTTTCCAGTGTGCTCTAATGGTCTCCAACACGAAAATACAGATTTGAGCCTTGGAATCTGAGTGTGCAAACTCGGACGTGCACGGCATCCTCATCCTCTGCAACATCCCACAAAAACCAGCAGATGGATTTATCCTCTGTGCATCACCCACTGCTCTGGGCTTGGTAAAAATGGGTGGAAATTGGGACAAGTCCCACCCTCCACCCACGGGGCTGTCCTGCAGGAGGGACATCCTGTCCCTGTGCCATCCATGGGTCTGCTCACCTGGGCTGCTGCACAGGCACACACAGGCAGGAATGGTCTGAGCCCCTTTTGGCCGTGTCCTTGTGNAGGCCAGGTTGGACACTGGGACAGTGAAGGTGTCCCTGCCATGGCAGGGCTGGGATTAAATGAACTTTAAGGTTCCTCCCAACCCAAACCATTCCAGGGTTCTTTGACAAGGTGGGGATTGGTCAAAGGCTGCACTCGGTGATCCTGGATTTACAACCTCAGTTTTTCTGTGATTTACTGGGGCTGCTGCTTGGATCCTCCTAGGAGAATAAATCTGCATTTTCTGGTGTCTCAAAGACATGGATCCAGTTTCCATCTCTGCAGAAACCCAGGCCCTCCCAGCACCCTCTCTGCCCACCAGCAATCCCAAATCCCGAGGCACTGAGGAAAACCTGAGTGCCTTTATCGGTGCCAGAGAATTAGAGATGAGCTGGAGCATCAGGGATTGTTTCAGTGCCTGTCTCACAACCCCATTCCCTCAGGGAAATGACCAGGAGGGCAGAAATTTTCCAGAGAGACTCTGGTAATTCCGTCAGGGCTGGCAGCTGAGGTGCCTCAGTACCTGTTGGTGATTGCTGAGGCTCCTTCTTCATCCCCTTCGTGTCTTTATTCAAGTGCTTGGCTGCCAGCGTCATCCCTGGAACAGATTTTGGGCACAGTGACAGCAGCAGTCCTCCCACACTGTGTGTAAATCAGGTATAAAAAGCTACAGAGTGAGTCCTTGCTATACATCCGAGATGGAAAAGCCCCTCTCACATCAGGAGAATAAAGCCTGATGCTATTTTAGGCCTTCAGCACAGATGTGCAATAAAACCCCCATGTTTCCTACCCAACATTGCTCATGAAATAACTCCAGTAATAACCTGCAGAGCTTGCCATAAAGCCACTTTGCATCCTTGATTTGCACAGACTGGGCATGAAAGGAATAATCAGAAAGCTCAGGTTGTGCTTGACCTGGTGCTGTCCATCCAGGGCAGGAGGGATGCTGGGTTTATTCCAGCACAGGCACTGCCTTGGTGCCTGAAAATAGAAAGGGACCTAAAGCAAAGCCTTTTATGTATCTTCAGGCCATTATCCTTGGATCACAGCGTTCCTGGAAAATCTACAGATACAGAATAAGGTGAATAATCTGATTTTTTTTTTACATATGTTCTGTTTTTTCCATACATGTTTTTCATAGGATGAAAATCCAGTTTGTATGTGCAGAAAAATGTAAAGATCCATGTCTGCCTGTGCCTGTGAGCTGTTCTGGGGAGGGCTGGGTCGTGGGAGGCAGCACTGCCAGCTTCAGCCTCACAGAGCACATTTCTGACAGGGCACCACGGCACATATGGAAAAAATCAAGCAGAGCTGAAGTATTACAGAAAGCACTAAAAATCTGCTGGGTTTTTTTAATTCTGTCCTTGAAAAGGAAAAGCAAACAAGTTCAGCTGATGGGTTTATTATTCAAAAGGTTGATTTTACGGTGTTCTGCCTTTTAGAGAACTCAGGCGATCCCTGTTCAAACTCAAATGTCAGCGTTTTGTCACTGCATATGTTGTTGCACAGAGCCATAACGGGGTAAAAAAAAAACCAAACGGGAGAGGAGCTCAGTGTGTGTCAGCGAGGCAGCTCCGGGAATGCCAGGACGGGCCCGGTGGGACCCCAAGGCATGGGAAAGGGCTGTGGAAAGTCTGTGTTTGCCTTGCAGCAGGAAGCGCCCTGGCATAGCATGAGTGCCCGCGGCGCTGGGGGCCATGCCCTTCTCCAACAGCTCTGAGCTCAGCCCGTCCTTCCTGCTGGCCAGCATCCCGGGGCTGGAGGCGGCCCAGGCCTGGCTGGCCATCCCGCTGTGCTCGGCCTACGTGCTGGCCCTGCTGGGCAACTGCGCCGTGCTGCTGGTGGTGCGCGCCGAGCCCAGCCTGCACGCGCCCATGTACCTGTTCCTGTGCATGCTGGCCACCATCGACCTGGCGCTGGCCACGGCCACCGTGCCGCGCATCCTCTGCTTCTACTGGTTCGGCAGCCGGGAGATCGGCTTCGGGGCCTGCCTGCTGCAGATGTTCCTCATCCACGCGCTCTCGGCCGCCGAGTCCAGCGTGCTGCTGGCCATGGCCGTGGACCGCTACGTGGCCATCTGCCACCCCCTGCGCCACGCCGCCATCCTGACCAACGGCGCCACGGCCAAGGTGGGGCTGCTGGCCATGGCCAGGGGCGTGCTGTTCTTCCTGCCGCTGCCCCTGCTGCTGCTGCCGCTGCCCTTCTGCGGCTCCCGGGCGCTCTCGCACTCCTTCTGCCTGCACCAGGACGTGATGAACCTGGCGTGCGCCAACACCACCCCCAGCGTGGTGTACGGGCTCACGGCCATCCTGCTGGTCATGGGGCTGGACGCCGTGCTCATCTGCCTCTCCTACCTCCTCATCCTCAAGGCCGTGCTGCGCCTGGCGGCCTGGAGGGAGCGGCTCAAGGTGTTCAGCACCTGCATCGCCCACATCTGCGTGGTGCTGGCCTTCTACGTGCCCCTGATCGGGCTGTCCGTGGTGCACAGGTTTGGCAAGGACCTGGCGCCGCTGGTCCACGTCGTCATGGGCAACGTCTACATCCTGGTGCCCGCTGTGCTCAACCCCATCATCTACGGGGTGAGGACCAAGCAGATCCAGAGGAGGATCCTGAGCCTGATTCACGTGGCTGACAGAACTCCCCGGTGAGCGGGGCTCTGCCCCCGTCTCCTCGCTCGGGCTCATGTGTTTCACACTCGGAGTCCTTGGGGCTGGGCCGTCCCCTGCCTGTGCCCTGAGGTGCTGCCACCAGGCAGGAGCTGGCTGTAAACTCCTTCCCACAGTGTTTGCCCTCACCAAACCTGAAATGGCTGCGATGATCTAAACCCGAGCCCGGCCTGGCAGGTTCCACGAGAAGGGAAAAGCGACTCAGCAAACTTGCACAGATGTCCCAACACTGCACCCCTTGGCTCCTGTCCCGCCTCCAACAGTGGCAGAGCAGAGCAATTGCTGGATGGTTTGGGATGATTTAGTTAATTCGTTGTTTCCACATGGGACACAGCCACATTCCAAAAGTTTTGCCAGAAAATTTGCACGTAGCATCATTCTGTAAGTAAAAGAATTACAGGACACCTGTCCAAAGTGACATTACAGATGCAGAAATGCCTTTCAAAAAAAGAACATCCACCTCTGTGGTCTTGTTCTGACCCGTTGTGTGCTCTGTCAAGACCCCTCAACCTCCTCATAGCAGATGCTGTGGAAAAACTTCAGACTCAGAGTTACTGGCAGCAGTTGTAAAAATAATTTAAATTAATAATTGTATTCAATATAAGAAAACATCTCAAGGGAAAAAAATAAGCAAGTTATAAATGTTAGTGATTATTCCAAGCTGAAGGAAGTCTCATTTCCAAGCCAAAGCTGTTCTCCACTGGGAATTCCTAAAAACTCCTTTCACTGCCACCACTGAACAGAGTCTGGCACCATCCTCTGGCACCCCTTGGGGAGATTGGTATGGGTGGATGGGAGCCCCTCTCAGAGCTCTCATTATCATGGGCTGTGGTTTCACAGGAGTTGGGGTTCCACTCGTGGGAAGTCAGGGATGTGTTTGCAGTTCCCCCTGCAGCAGACCCCGAGATGCCTCAGGGAGGGTTCTGGGGCTCAGCTCCCGTTTGGTCATGGGGGGGTTTGGTGGGGTTTGGGTTTTGCTGCACAAGGAGGGGCACAAAGGCCCTGCCCGGGCATTTCTCAGGGATCTGCACTCAGAGGTGCCCCCAAACCTCAGTGTCTCCATTAATCTCACAGAATCCCAAATCCCCGAGGCTGGCAAAGCCCTCCCAGCCCCTGCAGTCCCAGCTGTGCCCCATGGCCACCT